GAAAAGGCAGAAATTGCAGGAAATTATGTATTGCAGGAGCTGCTCTATCTTCTCCACAGTCGGCTCCAAGGAGGCTTCTGCTTTGGGAGCAGCATTTCCTGTGCTGAGATCCCCTCCCGCAGGGGGAGAGCGAGGGCCAGGGCCAGGGCCAGGGCCAGGGCCAGGCTGAGGCTCTCACAGCGGGACTCTGGTCCTCAGACAGGCTTCAGCTCCTAACCCTGCTGCCCAGGCCTCCTTACTCCCCTTCCCAGCCTCCCCCCCGGGCTCACACACGTATCCAGGATCGATCCGTTCACTCGCCCTCGCAAGGGGAGCAGTTGAGGCCTGGTTCATATGACTGTTGACATGAGTCAGAGCCACCTTCAGAAGCACAGTCCCCAGACAACGGACCGGGTGCTAGCCTCAAGGACTCCCCGTGGGTGTGCACCCATTGGGGGAGCTTGCCTTGGTTCCAGCCTAGAAATCTCTGAAGGTCTGACGCATCCCATGGATCTGACAGTAGCACAGCAATACAGATGGTCATAGTGGCTTCTGGCGAATGTGACCACTGTTCCGGGTCAAGATTGGGTTAGGGAGGGCCGACCGGGTTGGGCAGCAAGATAAGCCCCCACAGCGCGGCTGGGGTTTGCCGTCAGCGGGGACTGATGAGGTGAGGCTCACTGTGGAGTTTTCCAGGGAGCTGAGTCTCAGAGCCAGTCTTTTCTTTTTCTTTTTCTTTTTTTTTTTTAATTTTAACTAGTTTGCACGGAGGAGGCCTTTCTAAAATGGATTTCACACTTCTCTGACTTCTCAAACTGAGGCTACAGAACATAATTAAACTTATCTTGGAGAATCAGGCCCATCATCTGGAATCTGTTATTAATCTCTGGAGCCAGACTGTCTTGTTCCAATCCCAGCCTCTCTTCTCCCTCTCTGTGCGGCTTCCTGCCTCAGTTCCCCCTCCTCTGAAATGGGAATAGTCCTAGTGGGTTTGGCTCAGTGGATAGGGCATCGGCCTTCAGACCTAAGGATCCCAGGTTCGATTCTGGTCAAGGGCACGTACCTCATACCTCGGTGGCAGGCTCCGCCCCGGCCCAGGCCCTGGTCGGGGCTTGTGCAGGAGGTGACCAATTGATGTGTTTCTCTCACATCTATATTTCTCTCTTTCTTTCCCTCTCTCTTCCACTCTCTCTAAAAACCAGTGGAAAAATATCCTTGGGTAAGGATTAAAAAAATAAAAAAGAAATGGGAATAATAACTACACCTACCTCGTGGGGCTGTTGAGGAGATGGGATGAGCTAACAGGTGTAAAAGTAGTGCCCGGCAGATAAGCGGTAGGACTGTACCACCTGGCCATTTCCAGGTGAACGACAGTGGACATGGGCCGCTTCGTGTGGCTTGGCCCGGTGCAAAGTGGCACTCAGGGGCTGGCTCCTGTTCCTATAGATGCTCTGTGCTGGGCACGGTGCTCTGGCACTTGGCGTTTGCCCTCTCCTTTATTCTCCACAGGCTCACAGGGGCGTTAGGACTCCACTAGTCAGAGGATAACATCATGACTTAGGCTGAGGTGCTGGCCCCAGCTGCTCAGCGGGTAGGTGCCGCGCTGGGGTCCCAGCAGGAGGCCTGGGCCCCTTTGTACCGTCCTCTCTGTCGGGTGCTGGGCGGGGCCAGTGGCCCCCCAGGGAGCACTGAGTGGTCCTGGGGCCTCGTACTAAGTCCTGCATTCATTTTTCTCGAATACTCTACCCCCTTCCTGAGCTGGCAGGCCCCGAGCGTTCTCCTAGGAGCACAGTAAGAGCCCTTGCCCCTGGATTTTGTGGCACCAGCTGCAGTTGTTTCAGATGCTGTGTATGTATTTATGTGACAGAGCGGGTCGCTGATGTGCGTTCAGGTGTCGCACAGGTGACCTCCAGATGGGGGGGTCGCGTCAGGACACACGGAGCTGTGGCCTGGGGAGGCTGGAGGAGCCTGGGGTCCCAGGCTGTCCCCAGCTGCCGCCCTCCCCCCGCTGCGCGTCCCAGTGCGCTCCCCATGGCATCAGCACTGACACTGCACCTCCCGGCTTGAAGGGACTGTGGCAGGCATCCTGTTGAGCACGTCACTTTACAGATGAGGAAACTGAGGCTCAGAGAGCTGGAGGAACTGCGGGGACCAACTGGAACGCAGAACCCTGGTTCCCCGTGGGACTGTCCCCCCCCCCCCCTCCTTAGCAAGGGCTGGTCTTCTCTCCCTGTCTCTGATGCCACCGCGGGGTGTCTCCGAGGGGAGGAGCCAGGGCCGGGTGGCCTGTGCAGGCACACAGGGCCTGTGCTTGGTCTCATGCTCTGTGGTCGCTGTCCTGAAATCTCTTAATACCTCTTGAACAAAGGACCCCACAATGCCTCTTTCCACTGGGCCACACAGTTATCCCCTTGGTGCTGGAAGGAGCCCTGGGCCCTGGGCTGCCTCCTTTTCCTGGGGCAGGTTGGGGCGGGCTGGGAGGGGGGGTGTCGGGGCGGGGGAGCTCCCCGGGAGGCATGACCAGGCCACTCTGCCCTGCAGGGCGGGAGTGGAGCCTCCTCCCGGGGACAGGCAGGGCCTGCTGGGATGGGCTTAGGGAGCGGGATCTCTAGGACAGTGAGGGGCAAGTCCTGAAGCCGGCCGCCTGGGGCACCCTGAGTGGCCTTGGGCATTTGACAGCCTGAAAAGCCTTTCTCATCGGTAGAAGGAGAGCAGAGGAGCTCTCGGTGCAGCTATGAGGACTCAGTGAGTACCGTGCCGCAGTAATGTATGAAGAATGATGTCCTTGTTAGCGCTGCCCAGAAAGTGCTCCGTGAGGCAGCCACCCTCCTGCCCCAGGGCCGAGCCCAGGCTTCCTGGGGGGCTCTGGGACTCCGTGGGCTTCTAGGCTGGGGAGCCCCGGCCAAGCCTCTTTCTCCCTCTCAGGTGGCAACATGAGGGACATGGAAGAGCCGTCATTCCCGGGCCCCTCCGTGCTGGCCTGGCCGTGTTTCAGCCCCCGAGGGCCAGGGCAGGCAGGGAAGCACCGCGTGAGCGGTAATGTGCTCTCTGGAGGCGGAGGGTGCCGGAAGGGGCCTGGGCTTGACATCAGTTGGACTCGTGGAAGTTCTGCTCTGCAGTGTCAGCCGGTGGCCGGGGCAGATTACTTAGCACCCCTGACCCCCAGCTTCCTCCTCCGTAAAAAGTGACGAAGGATTATCTTGAGGCGAAATGTGATAAGGCTGTGAAGCACCCAGCTCAGTGACTGGCCCACACAGACAGTGTCTGATGAATGTTTGTTGAGTGGATGAATGAATGAGTGAGCGAATGAGTGAGTGAGTGGAGGGATGCTCTGTGTTTGCTGTTGTCAGATGTCCTGGAAGGAAGGCGTGTGAGGTGGTGGGAGTGGAGGAGGGGCAGGGACAGAGGCCACACACACACACACACACACACACACTGTATCGAGGGGAGAGGAGAAGTGTTCAGATCATCAGAATCGCTTGCAGGCACATAGCACTGAGCATGCTCCATACACTGTTCTCAGCACTGTACTCACATGAGGTAGGACTGCCAGTACCCCCATTTTATAGATGAAACTGAGCACAGAGAGGGTACCTTGCCGCAGGTCACACAGCCAGTGAGGGATGGAGCTGAAGCAGGCAGCTTGTCTGCATGACCATGTGCCTACCTTCATTCCCTACCCAGCCCAACCTTGACCGTACCCTTTAAGCCAGAGGTCCTCAAACTCTTTAAACAGGGGGCCAGTTCACTGTCCCTCAGGCATTCCACACATGCGCACTGCGGGCCCGGAACAAGTCGGCTGCTAAGCAGGACAGGCAGCGGCGGCAAAAACACCCGGCGGGCCGGATAAATCCCGCGGGCCGTAGTTTGAGGACCCCTGCTGTGGAGGCTGCACCTTCCCCTCTGCCACCAGTGTGGTCCTCGCTGGCTGTAGGACACTGATTTCAAGGGCGGGGCCTCCTTTTCACTCAGAGGAGGGGGCAGCGTGAGAAAGCTGGGTGGCTTCCTGACAGGCCCAGCCCTCGAGGGCAGGCCAGGCCCCAGGTATGGGATAGGGCCCCAGCTCTGGCCACTGGACAGCTGAGTAGTCGGATGCGAAGCTTTCAGGTGGGAGAGGCCACATGGGGATGGGTGGGGAGGAGGGAGGAGGCATCTTTGCCCAGAGCCCTGCCGGCCACAGTGAGCGAAGGGGCCGGTCACCATGTGAGGGGCGGGTCCTGCGGCCCAACCAGGGCCTGAGTACCGTCTTTGCACTCGGGAGGAGGCTTGGGTCTGACAGGGCCGTGAACTGGCCACGGGAGTCAGAAACCCCGGGCTCTGCCTGGTGGACTTGGGGAGTCCTCCCTGCTCTGGGCCTCAGGCCACATCTACCTTAGAGTGACTTGGGTGTGAAAGTGACGCGGAAGCTTACGTGTCTTCTAGGAACCGCACAGATGTGTGAGGGAGCGAGGCCTGGGCAGAGCATGGGCGTTGGGGGTGGCAGGCCCAGCTCAGAGTGGCCTTGGGTCAGTCATCTCATCTCTCAAAGCCACTCAGTAAAACAGTGAGATTGTATGTTAACACTGGCCGTGTGGGTGTGACTGCCTGCTCTCTGCTGAGCACTTCACACCCTTCACCTCATCAGTCTCACAACAGCCCTTTGGGGTGTGTACTGTGATCGGCCCATGTGAGAGGGGAAACTGAGGCTCCAAGAGGTACCCCCCTTGCCTGAGGTCTCCCAGCTAGAAAGTGGCAGAGCCAGGATTCACCCCGGGGCAGCTCGCCCCAGAATCCACCTGCTTCAGGGCAGACGGCACCTCTGCCAGACCTGACAGTGGGGGGTCGCCTGGAGATGAAATGAGACCCTGGAAGTGTTATCCCAGGGCTTGGCCCTTAGTCGGTGCCGGGCAATGGAAGATGCTGCCCTTTCTAACAGCTGGTGCCTGGGGTCCTCCTGCTTCCAGGGCCTGGGGCTACGTTCCCACAGGGATCGGGGTGCCTCCAGCCTTCTCTTCCTCACACCCCTGCTCCCCTCCCATCAGGATGTGGCCACAATGCAGTTCTGTGCCAACAAGCTGGACAAGAAAGATTTCTTTGGGAAGTCCGACCCGTTCCTGGTGTTCTACAGAAGCAACGAGGATGGAACGTGAGTCCCCAGCGACACGGCACCCCTTCTGGGGTCGGGGCGGGCGGGCTTGCGTCCACCTCCTCCCTGTGCTGCCTGGGCTCCTGCTCCAGAGGGGATGGAGGTCAGGGCTCCAGGGGTGCCTGGCCACGTGGATGGGCTGGTGGGGCTGGGGCAGCCTCCAAGCCAGCAGTGCCCCTCTGGGGGCCTCCGCAGCGGCGGGTGGTGATGTGTGGGAGGTGGGGGAGTGGGTAAACGCAGGGCGAGGGCGAGAATAAGGGTCTCCTCTGATAGTCCCTTCCTTCTTCCACACCAATCAGTCCATATACCCAAGCCCAGTTCTCCACCCACTGCCCTCTGAACACCCCACTGCCACGTCTCCCCGACGGCTGCACCCCCAGATGGCAAATCTGGGCCCTCTCCCCGCCCAGACCCACACCTCACCGTAGGCTTCATTCAAAACTCTACACGTCTTCCTCTCCTGTCCCTGATCCAGAAGCCACCACAACCGACAGGAACACACACACACACACACACACACACACACACACACACATTGGCAAATGTAGGTCAGCTATGCACAGAGGGACAGATTCTAGGTGGGCGTTCTGGGGGCCCAGGGCCTCCCCCCAACCGGCTGTGTAACTAACCCCAGGCAAGTCATGCCCCTCTCTGGGCCTGCTTTCTCACCAGTTGGATGAGGTGGTCTCCGCGGCCCCTTTAAGCAGCACAGGGCAGGGAGGCCGAGGCCACTTAGGCTGGCGTTCTGCGGAGCCAGGAAGCCGTGGGCCAGGGAGGTTAATTGGAAAAGCGCTGCTGGAGCAGGGCAGGGACGCGGGGTTTGAAGAAGAGGAAGAAAATGGGTCCGCGGGGAGGCGCCGGGAAGCACAGGCCAGAGGAAAGGCCTGCGCAGGGCAAGTGCCCGGAGCAGAGGCAGGAAGGCCTCGCCAAGTTCTCGTGGATCCTGAAATTCTTGGTGTGCCCGTGTGTGCCCGTGTGCGTGTGTGTGTGTGTGTGTGTGTGTGTGTTGGGGGCAGGAACATGGCAGGGAGGAGCTGTGTTGCCGTTCAAGGGAAAATGGATTTTTAAATCTGAACGTACAAAACAAGGGAAATTAGGTGTGACATTTGCATAACAAAAGGATTCTTTGTCTCACCAGAGGACTCCCAGCAGAAGGTCTTTAAATAATTCTGTTGACTTTGACTTGACTTGGCGGAGGGAGGAGAAGGCCCAGTGGTGTTCTAGGGCCACAGCATGTCCACCCGGGTGCCCTGCAGCGAGGCCAGGCCGGCCACACGGGCTGTCTCAGAGGCGGGCGGCCGACCAGGAGGAGGGAGGGATTTGGGTTTGGGAGCAGGAAAGGGGTGTGTTGCAGAGTGTTTTCCAAAGATTGTTCCAGCAGAGCAGATGTGTAGGATGGATGGGGAGGGGCGGGAAAGAGGAAGAGACTCGTGACTGACACGTGAGCAGGTGCTCAGCACCCGGCAGGCTGTGCTGGGGAAGTGCCGGGGCGGCGGGGGTGGAAGGACAGGGCAAAAGGACAGCCTGGGCACCTGTCAGCAAACTTGGGGGGGAGGGGCCTGAAGTCACAGCCCCGCCCTGGCAGTGAGCTGCGGGGGGCGGGAGGGCTGAAGGTGGCAGCTGGTCAGACGGGGGGGAGGCCATGGGAGCTTAGTGGGGGTGAGTTTCAGCTGAAGCAGGGGCTAGGTGTGTCCTTGGGGACACCCAGGTGGCTGGAGAAACCCACCCCGAGGCCCCTGAGAGGTGGGCTAGTCTGCAAGCACCTGGGAAGATGCTGAACTGATGAGAGCAGGGTGGTTCTCCCCCTACCCCCCCTCCCCGGTTTGAGGAGGGGAGAGTGGAAGGCTTGGGAGACACCCCGTTAGGAGGATGGGCGGAAGGTCAGTGAGGGGCCCAGGGAGTGAGATGTCACACCTGCCACCCCAGGAGGGACAGGGAAGGAGGCATCTACCGAGCGCCCTGTGCTCCCAGCCCTGTACCTGCCGTCTTACTCATCCCATCACTCGTCTGGTTGCAAGAATGTAACCAGGAGAACGGCCCCCCCACCAGGCTGCCTTCGCCAGCCTGGCGCTGCCTGTGGTCAGCTGTGTGACTTTAGGCAAGTCTAACCCACTGGGACTTTCCAGGAGAAGGACAAGTGCTGTATCTCGCTGTCTAGTATGGTCGCCATCAGGCACCTGGAGCTGTTGAGCGCTTGAAGTGGGCCTGATGCTATGGCAGAACTGAGTTTTAAATTTCATTTCATTTTAGTTCATTGAATGGAAGTGGTCACATGCACTGTGGCCGCCATTCTGGGCAGTGCAGCTCTAACTCGGTGTGTCCACGGGGCGAATCCTAGCAGCACGCAGGGCTGCTGTGAGGATTGATGAGTTAACACGTGTGATTAGAGCAGGGCCCGGCAGCTCCTGTTCTGTCCCCATGTTACAATGAGAGGGGAGCTCAGAGAGGGAGAGTGGTCTGCCTGGGGCTGCACAGCTGGTGGCAGTGGCCCTGGGACTGTCTGCTCCACCACCCACTGAGCAGAAAATGAATTGAGTGGTGACATGACTGCAGGGACCGCAGGGAGTCGAGGGGCCTGTGGATTTGGTGGGGATAGGGGATTCGGGCAAGAGTCAGAAGCAGAAAGCAGACTGCACAGGGCTCGGGAAGAACCAGCTGGGAGGGAATCAGGCTGACTGCTCAGAGCCCGGTCTGGAAGTTTGGCTGGCCGGGGAGGCGGCCGGGGAGGCAGTGGCTCCAAAGGACGGGAGGCTGGAGGGTCCACGCAGGCTAGTGCAATCAGGGCTTCTGCACAGCAAACCTCCCTCCCTTCACGCCCATTATGCTCCTGCCCCTCCCTCCTGCCTTCTCCCCCACCCCCCACCCAGCCTCCTCTTCCTGCTGCCCCAGCCACGGCAGCTGTGGCCCCTCCTTCCTCCGTGCCATTCCTGTCGTCAGCAGCAGCTCTGTGTGTGGGGAGGTCTCCCACGTGTATCTCCACACTCCAGCGGGTGGGCGAGAGGAGCGGAGAAGAGAAACGCTGAGCCTTGGTGACAGAAATGACATTTTGACTTGAAAACTGCCAAGAAGAAATGGCACAGGCTGTGTGGGCACGGGCGGGGCCCAGGCACCTTCCTGAGAGGCCTTTCCAGCCGGGAGGTCGCTGGGACGGATGCTGGGAAGTCTCGGGGGGCCCGCCCCTGGCCCAGCTCCACTGGCCCTCGGCTGCCCCCCCCCCCCCCGCTCCCCCCCTCCGCCCCGGCCGGGCAGGCTTCCGGATGGGGCCAGCGGGCGTGTGTGGGGAGCGGGCAGGGACGCTGCTTTGCGGCTCAGATGGGATACGCCAATCCTGCATTTTTAGTTGCAAAGCAAGCTCATGGATTCAGAGCTGAAAGGGTCTTAGAGATCATCTCAGCCAGAGCTTTCATCCTCTGGCTTGAAATGCCAGCAAAAACGATGGAAATTCTCCTCTAGGAAATACATTCATTCATTCACTCATTCCAGAAAATACTTGGTGAGCATTTACTACGTGCCAGGTGCCGGCCGGGGGCACTGGAGACGTACCAGTGGTCAAAGAAGACAAAACCCTTGCTCTTACCGAGCATTCAGTCTAGTGACAGACCATAACATGAATAAGCAGAAAATCAGACTGTGCCGAATGTCGAATGGTGACAGGTGGGATGGGAGAACAGCGTGGCCGGGGCCTGGGGTGGCAGGGTCAGGGCCAGGGGTGTACATTTCAGATACGGCACTCATGGCAGGTACTCGTGTCAAGGAGGTGACATTTGAGTAAAGACCTGAAGGGAGTGAGGAGGTGAGCCATGAACATGGAAATTGGGGTTTGGGGGGGTGGGGGGCAGGAAAGCAGCAAGCATGTGAAGCCCAGACCCCGCTTCACTGACAGTTTCCGGGTTCACAGGCCCCCAAAGCCCATGCGCAGATCCTTCCGTGGGTCTCAGTTGAAGAACGTCTGATAGCGGCCAAGTCCCTGGAAACAGAGGCCAGAGAGGAAAGGGCATGCTCAAGGTCACACAGAGAGCAGGGCCAGAGCCCGCATCCCCCAGGAACCCTCTCTGTGGCATCACCAGGAAACGGCCGTCCAGTTTCTACCTGGATGCCGCTGGTGACGGTCAGCTCATCCCTTCACAAAGCCACGGTCCTTACTGGCTGGCAACCGTAGAGCTTAACCAGCTGGTCCCTCAGTTGACCTGGACTCTGCCTTCCTTGGGTTGGGGTCTGACACCTTCCCTCTCTTCTTTGCCAGGTTCACCATCTGCCACAAGACCGAGGTCATGAAGAACACCCTAAACCCAGTGTGGCAAACTTTCTCCATTCCGGTGAGAGCCCTCTGCAACGGGGACTATGATCGGTGAGCTGGGAAAACGTCCCTCCCGTCCCGGCTGCGGGAGGCCTGGTTCCCGCGGATGGGGGTGGTCCCTCTATGTGAGCAGAGACCCCTGGGGCTGTGCACAGATGGCCCTGCACAGGGAGGGACTCCAGAGCCTCGCCACCCGCCACTCCCCTCGCTGGGGCAGTGTCTTCATCTCCTCACAGTCCTCCCTGCACCCTGAGTCTTTCCTCCTGTCAGGGGTCCCCACTGGTGCCTGGGATTCCAGGGAAGCCCGATGGGTGTTGGGGTGACCTGGCCTGGAGCTGCCCTGCTTTTCATTGTTCCCATTAGAGGGGCAGATGGGGGCCAGACAGGGCTCAAGATACACAGAGGAAGCCTGGTCCCCCAGCCCCAGCTCTTGGCAGGTGGATTCAGGGAGTCAGGGTCCCAAGATACTCTCTGCCAGCCAAGTTGCTGAAAGTGGGGGTGAGGGACGGGACACAGAGCTCATGGAGCTCCCTGATGCAACACAGCCTACTGCTATCACATGTTAGCTATCATCATCATCATCATCATCATCGTCATCATCGTCCCACGAGTGCAGATTGTTGAGTGTGGATACACCTGGTTTCTAATCGGCTGTGTGACTCAAATGGACCGTCAGTCTGGGCAAACTTTGACCTTTCTTTCTTTCTCCTTCTTCTTTCTTAAACTTTGACTTTTTTGAGCCTCAGTTTCCTTATCTGTAAAATGGGTATTTGAACGTGTACTTACCTTACAGGGCTGCTTTGAGGCTCACGTGACACAGCCTACACAGAAAGGCTTTGGTGTGCGTCAGATACCAAATTCAGCATTCAGTCCTCAAGTGTTTATTGACTCCCCACCAGGTGCCGGGCCCTGCACTAGAGGCTGGGAAGTCAGCAGGGAACAAACACACAGTCTTCACCCTTCAGCCAGGCTCGTGGAGTTTACATCTCGTGGGGGAGGCAGACATTATCCAATAATCACACAAAGAAACCTGTAATTGCAAACTGTGCTAAGTGCCGGGGAGCTGAGGTGGTGCTGGCCTGTGTGAAGGTCATGCGAACCCAGCCTGGTTTCCTGGTGATGGCTGACGCTGTGGGGAGCTGGCAGGGGTTCACGGGCCTGGACCCCTGCTGGCCACTCGGACAGGAACGCGGGGGTCCTGGCTGGTGGCATTCGCATGGGCTCGCTGGGACCCCGCTCACAGTGGCTACTGACTGGCTATGTGTGGTGGATGAGAGGGGCCTCCAGGAACCCCGTCTCCTTCTAAGTTAGGCTGCTGATCCGGGAGGTGAGGTGGCACCTTTTCCTGCTTCTTGGTTGGGACAGAAAAGCTACCATCTGTTTCACAGGTGGTCATGAGCACCTACTCTGTGCTCAGCATGCCTCCAGCTGTGCGGCATTCAAGGGGATGGAGCCTCATCTCCATCTTCAGGGAGCTTAGAGTCTGACCACAGGGAGCTCAGGTGTGCACACGAGTGTATCAGTCAATGAAGTAATTGTGCAAAATGAGGCCGGAGACAAAGTAGGCCTTCGAGCCACACAAACCCATTAGGTGTCTGGGCAGGTCCTGGGCTCCTAGGATGGGAGGACAGTGGTTGGAGCATGGGGTCTACAGGAGGCTCAGAGAAGGTGCAAGGTTGCGGGGGTGGGGGGGCGGGGTAGGGGAAGAATGGTTGGGATGGAGAGAGATGGAGGGGAAGCGAAGGGAAATTCAAGGCTGGAGAATGGGAGAGCATGCCAATTCAAGTCTCATGGGGTGGAAGGAATCAGGGTCTTTAGCCCACTGCCCAGAGGTTTTGGGGATCCAGCTGACCGCCTCCCCCCACAACTTCTGCATTCCTAGGAAGGGACTCCCAGGGTCTCAGAACCCAGCTTGTTGGGATGGTGAGGAGGGCAGTGAGGCTCAGTGGCTTGGGCGCTCCGTCCAGCCATTGGAGGAGGTGAAGGTGCGGGGGCGGAGGGGAAGGGGGTGCTGGTCACGGGGAAACCCAGGCAGGCTCCCATCTCCCTCCCTGGCTGAGCCCCGACTCTGCCCCCAGGGTGGCGGGCAGCTGGGGCCCTGCTCCACAGCCGGGAATAGATCGACCGAGACATGATTGACAGCAGTATTAATGGAGGGGCCAGGCATGTCACACTGCTGGGCGAAAGTGAGCAGGCTGCTGGGCCCAGCCCTAGGGTAACCCATGTACCAACAGCCACTGGGGCACACAGGCGTCTGGGAGGCCCTCTCAGGGCGGGGGAACCTCTTTAAAGCCTCACAGACGCATTCGCATTCGGGCGAATCCAGCAGCTGCGTCTCCCGCACCAGCCTGGCACAGAGCACCGTGCTGGGGGCCATGGGCGCCCTGAGCTGCCAGACCCATGCCTCCCTCTCAGGTTGCTCCCGGGCCAGGGCAGGAGACAGACGGGTAATAATAATAACAGCAAAGGCCCCTGTAGCAAAGGCGGGAAGTGTGGCAGGGAGCAGAGTCGTGGCTGCTGGACAGCACGGGGGTGCTCTGCTGAGGAGAGGGGACCGAGGTCTGGGAGTCCCCTGGAGGCCCTGGGGGCAGGGCCGCCGCAGTGGTCAGAGACAGGAGGCGACCAGGAGGAGGGCGGCCGTGGCCAGGGAGCTGAGAGGGGGGTTCAGGCAGAAGTGCCAGCTACTGTGGTGAGAAGAGCGCCCGGAGGGTGGGGACCAAGGGTCCTGGAGAAGGGGCGTTCCTGGGAATGATGGGGGTCGGGAGACAGTTACTATTGTTGTGATTACAGAGTCTTTAGGGCATGGACCAGATTGTGTCCTGATTGGCTGCAATACATGATCTGATTTGTGAGTTAGATTTCACAGTACCCCGGAAGGTGGGTGCTGGTGACCCCCGTTTCACAGACGGGGCGGGGAGGACCGGAGATTATGGAACTGGCAGGGCACGGAGACGGGACAGTTCTCCTTCCAGAGCTACCTCCGGGCTGGCCCTGGGGTTTGGGGCCCCCCTCTGCTTGTCTCCAGTCCACACGAGGCCGAACTCAAGTGCCCCAGCCGAGCAGGGCTGGCGGCAGAGGCCGTGGCAGGAGGGTCAGGGCCCGTCCAGCCTCCAGCGGGTGAAGTGGGTGATGACAGGAGGCACTTCCCTGCCTTCCCAGAGCCCCCTCCTCTCTCCTAGAACATTCTGTGACTTGAGCGTTTGTCCTCATTAAACCAGACTCCCCTGGTTGGCTGCTGTCATTCACTCACACCTGGATTTGAATGAGTGATTTTAAGAGGGTGCAGAGGGGGAGGTGGGGGCGCTCACATCTCTGGAGCGTCACACTCTGTCTGCCCCCTGAAGAACCAGCGGCTTCTCCTTTGAACCCACCACCCGCTGAGCGCCGGGAGGGGCCAGGCCAGCCCGGTGACCTCCGTTGGGAGTGTGTCATCCTGCCATCACCCCCGCCCCCCGCACACACACCCGCAGAGGCTAACCTTGGACAGAGGCACCTTGCCGTCCCCCGCCATCCGGTCTCGCTGCCTGCCCAGTGGGCACCCCCACTCCTCGTCTGCCCTGGAACCTCTCTGATTGTCAGTTTAGGGCAAACCCCTCGGGGCCTGTCAGCCCGGGGCCTGTCAGCCCGGGGCCTTGTAAGCAGCAGTAGGATGTACATCCTGGTGCCCGGAGAGGCCTATTAGGAGGCAGGTCTGTGCGGCTCCTGGGAGACTATAGATAGAGCTGCTGGGTGAGCCGGGGGAGGCTGGGCGTCTCTACCGTGTCCCTCACCCTCTGTCCTGCCGAGGCTCACGCATGCCCAGCTCTGGCACTCCGCCCCAGGCGTCCCGGGACCCACAGGCACTGGCTCCCACGCGGGCCTGGTGCTGCTGCTGACAGGCTGCCTGCTGCGGGGAAAGCCGCTCACTTGGGCCTCCCCTGTGGTTCCGGGGAGGGAGGGCCCACCTCACCAGGGGATAGAAGTTCTCAGAGGGCAGGTATGGCATTTAATCAGACCACGTATGTCCCCTCGTATGTGCGAGGCGCTGGTCCCGGGGCTGAGGGTGCAGCAGCGAACCTGGCCGGGTGGAGCTGGCAGCTTCGTGTGAATGGGAGCTTTTTGGGAGACAGGAGCTTGGGGAAAAGGCTGGATGTTTCAGAACCACAGGTGTCCGGTGCTGCCGCGAGGAGAACGTAGCTGACTTCTCACAGCAACCCCCAGTGGCTGTGATACCATTTCACAGAGGCGTAAACAGAGTCTCCGAGGCTAAGCCAGTTGGGCACTGCCACCCAGCTCTTGGCTGGAGAGCTGGGGTTGCCACCAGAGCTGCAGTCCTCCCTGCCCACCTGCTCCATCTCTCAGACCAGGGCTCTGTGTCCGGAGCCCTTTTTGCTAAATCAGATGTTCGTGTGTGGGCAGCAGAGGCCCATTTCCTTGTCCCACACCCACATCTCTGGGGTGCTGTCCCCAGAAGTCACAGTTGGTCCGACACAAGCCTTTGTTGGACCTGAGCTAAGGGGTTGGGAGCCAAGGCTGCAGCCCTAAGGGGGCATGTGAGGTGACTTGTGTGGCCCAGCCAGGGCTGGACAGCGACAGAGCTGTCAGCAGAGTAGTCACAGCTGTATCCAGCTTGTGCCTGCTTTCTCTGTCCCTGGGCAGCGTTTCTCTCACTTCCTTCTCCCCCTCGCCTGGAGTTTGCAGCCTCCCAGATAATCGGACCCTGGGCTGCATGCGCTGTCCCTGGAGCCTCGATTGCACAGGAATCTCACACTCAGTGTCTCCACCTCAGCTACAAGTTCAAATCCCCAGAGGAGCTTTAAGCAAGTCCCCTGCCAGGTGCACCCAGATCCTTTGATTCTGAGTCTCGGGGGGTGGGTGTTGGGGGGAGGTATGGGCATCTGAGGCATCTGCATGGATTGCTAAAGCTCTCAGGCACCCAATGTGCAATCCAGGTTGAAACCAGGGAGGTCAGGGGCTCTGGCTGAACAGCATCAGCCAGGGGACTTCTCAAGCTCCCCGTGCCTGAGTCCTATCTAGGCTAATTCAGGCCCGCTGGCCCTGCGATTATTAAAAAATCTCCCCAGTGATATGTGGGTGTCCCAGCTGTGGCCGTGACCGGGGTCCTCCTACAGCCTCGGAGCACGTGGCTGTCACTGCTCCCTCACCTGAGAGGCTGGTGTGAGTGATCCGAGGAGAGGCACTCTTTCCTGGGGTCCCTGAGTCCCCCCCCCCCCCCGTCCCCCGCAGAGCTGGAGGGCTCTAGGGAAGGACTGGGAAACTGTGGGGCAGGGTCCTGGCTCAGACCCTCCGGTGCCCTGCCCGGAGCTGCTGAGAACGGGGCCTGGGGTCTGTGTGTCTGAAAAGCTCCTGTGACCTATCAGGCGGGCAGGCGTGGGTGCCACTAAGGTCACTTCCAGCCTTGTCATCCAGGAACCAGAAGGTGCAGGTCAGGTACCCAGGTTTGGGTGTCCCTGATCTAAGTAAATTTCATATGAAAATGACTCGCATATGGCCGCATGCTCCAGGGGAGAGAAGGGGCCTTTTTATAGCGCCCAATGCGTGCCAGGCAGGTTCCACCAGCGTGTCTTTGCAGCTCTTCTGTGAGAACATGATTATCCCTGCTTTAACACGCGGGCTCGTGGCTCACAGAGGTTGAGTGACAGCCCCGGGCCCCCAGCTAGCAGCCTACACCCAGTCCTCCCCCAGCCTCTTCCCACTCTTTCCGCTCACCCGCCCACCTCCAGGGGCTTCGTTTATTTTCTTTCCACGATAATTCACCTCAGAGAGACATTGTTCTTGCTTCTCACAAGAATTTACAGGGTTCCTTTAAATGGGGGGCTTCTGTGCCCCCCGCCCTCATTTTGCATCTTAGTAACAGAAACCCAATGGATGCACAACCTACGGGCATTCCTTCATTCCAGCGCAGTGTCTGCCCCAGCAGGGAATCCGCAGCCTGCCCCTACACACCCACGGAGGCTCATCCGAAGGCACACAGCGCCTCCTTCTGGGCTTGTGGAGCCCCGAGGCTGAGTCCTCAGAGACCCCAGGAGACGGCCACAGCCATGCGTGGCGAGATGATGAGATGCTAATGGAAAGCAGGCCCCGGCAGCCGCCTCTGCGTGCCCCACTTAGAACTGACGGCTGGAGACCTCCCCAGACCCTGACCCTGCAGTGGGACCCCGGCGGCTCCCCCTCCCTGGGCATCCCTGGAGGACCACTGGCACCAAGGGTTAACCTGCAGCCTTCCACCTCCCTCCTCTGCCTCTGGTCCGCTAACCTGCTGCCATGGAAACAGGCTAAAAATAAAATGGGCTTCCAGAGCCCAGCCCCATGCACAGGAGTCAAAACAAACTAATTAAAGCAGCCGGGCGAAAATGTGAAGATAATTACACCCTCACTCAGGAGCCAGTCGTGGCATGGAACTGCTCAGCAGGCCATCCCGAGCCGGGCCCTGGGCCCCTCCCTGGCACGCAGGCTGCCTCCCACCACTCAGCCCCCACGGCCCTGAGCCCTGCTGCAGGAGAGCTCACCCCTGCTTAGGCCTGAGATCAGGGAGCAGCACCCCCCACTACGACGGCCCCGCCCCTCATACATTCATTGTGCGGTTTCCTGCTGGGACTTGTGCCCAATCTGGGATGGGCACGCAGAAGGCAGGGGGAACTGAAGTCTGAGATGTTTTTCCATATCCTCCCTGACATTCGGGAAAGTCCCTGCACAGCTCTGGGGCTGCCTCTGTCCCTAAGACTTTTGCTAAAAGGACTCAAGATAGTTCCTTTGTGTCTCGGGCTGCTGCCTCTCACTGAAGGCCCAGAGTGTGAGAAGGGCCCCATCTTCTGGTGGATGTCCCCCCATCCTCTCTGCCCAGGAGCATGAGACGGGCCCCGTCTTCTGGTGGATGTCCCAGCATCCTCTCTGACCCGGGAGCATGAGAAGGGCCCTGTCTTTCTGGTGGATGTCCAGCATCCTCTCTGACCCGGGAGCATGAGAAGGGCCCCGTCTTCTGGTGGATGTCCCAGCATCCTCTCTGGCCCGGGAGCATGAGAAGGGCCCTGTCTTTCTGGTGGATGTCCCAGCATCCTCTCTGGCCTGGGAGCATGAGAAGGGCCCTGTCTTTCTGGTGGATGTCCAGCATCCTCTCTGGCCCGGAGCATGAGAAGGACCCTGTCTTTCTGGTGGATGTCCCAGCATCCTCTCTGACCCGGAGCATGAGAAGGGCCCTGTCTTTCTGGTGGATGTCCCAGCATCCTCTCTGGCCTGGAGCATGAGACGGGCCCCGTCTTCTGGTGGATGTCCCAGCATCCTCTCTGACCCGGGAGCATGAGAAGGGCCCTGTCTTTCTGGTGGATGTCCCAGCATCCTCTCTGGCCTGGAGCATGAGACGGGCCCCGTCTTCTGGTGGATGTCCCAGCATCCTCTCTGACCCGGGAGCATGAGAAGGGCCCCATCTTCTGGTGGATGTCCCCCCATCCTCTCTGGCCCGGAGCATGAGAAGGGCCCTGTCTTTCTGGTGGATGTCCAGCATCCTCTCTGACCCGGGAGCATGAGAAGGGCCCCATCTTCTGGTGGATGTCCCCCCATCCTCTCTGGCCCGGAGCATGAGAAGGGCCCTGTCTTTCTGGTGGATGTCCCAGCACCCTCCCTGGCCTGGAGTGTGAGAAGAGCCCTGTCTTCTGGTGGATGTCCCAGCATCCTCTCTGGCCTGGAGCATGAGACGGGCCCCGTCTTCTGGTGGATGTCCCAGCATCCTGTCTGGCCCGGGAGCATGAGAAGGGCCCTGTCTTTCTGGTGGATGTCCCCCCATCCTCTTTGGCCCGGGAGCATGAGAAGGGCCCTGTCTTCTGGTGGATGTCCCAGCATCCTCTCTGGCCCGGGAGCATGAGACGGGCCCCGTCCTCAGGTGACGTGGATGTTGGGTCAAGCCCATCCCACCACGGACCCTTTGTCCCACAGGACCATCAAGGTGGAGGTGTACGACTGGGATCGAGATGGCAGGTAAGCAGGCCGAAGGGCAAAGGGGAACAAGGATGGGGCAGCCACAGGGGAGGATGGGCCCCGCCCTCACCTGGGACTGAGGCCTGGGTTTTCCTGAGGGCCGTCCACTGCCCCGTGACGGCCCCGGCCCGGCTCCCCGGACACCAGAGGACCTTGGTCCCGCGGGGCACGGTGCGAAGGACATGAGGGGCCTCTTTTCCTCAGACAGCTGCGGGCAGGTGCCTAACACCTCCCCCAGCGGGAGGCCCTGGGGTTTCTGAAACGTGCCTGTCGTGAGGTCTAGAGAAAGGTGCCCGGAGCCCTGGGACTCATCCCCTGGGAGCTCAGCCTTGTGGGGGGACCGAGCGTGGAGGAGGAGCTCGGCAGTGGGGAGGGAAGCTGGCCGCACAGGGAGGGACCTGAGCAGCGAGGCGGTGCCTGGGGAGGGCCCAGCCTGGCCAGTGCAGGGCGGTTCCCTCCCCTTCTCTCTCCCCAAGGAGCAGGGTCGCTGGGAAGTCACAGACAGGACACGAAGGCTTCCGTCCAGAACCCTCACCGGCTCCTCCTTGTCTATTGATCCAAATCCAGGCACCGCCCCCCCACCTTTGTGGCCCCTCCATTCTCAGGCAGTAGCGGGGCAGAGAGGGGCTTTACACCCCGTGTCTCCGCTGGTCCTCTCAAGTCTGTGGTGTGGACAGGGGCGTGGCACAGGCTGTGCAAACGCAGCTCTAAGTCAGGCCCAAGCCCCTTCCCAGGAGCTTACCTTCCCCTGAGACCTTCCTGTAGAGCCGGCTGGTGCCTACACCCCCCAGGGAACTCCCATGGGCCACGCCCGTCCTCTTTAACCACATCACAGGCCAGTCGGCTTCCTATTTGCTCCCATGATTTATCTCATCTTACCCTGGAGTTCTCCCTACTTCTCTTTTACTGAGAAAGCAGGGGACAGCCACCAGATGCCATTGGTTCCCACCACCAAGGAGCTCACAGTCTGCATGGGGAGAGCTGTAAATCTGTAGGGAAAATACGGTGTGTGCTCACGGCGGGGCAGGGCACCTCCCGGCATCACCCTCCAGCAGGCAGCCCAGGCCAGCACGTGAAGGTCAAAGGCAGCCAGCCACAGCGGGGGTCGCAGTTCCGCTTTGTACGAGGTTTTGCTGCACTTAATATAAACGCCCACACAGGGCCCCCGACGGTGCAGACACTGCAGAAAACACCGCCAGGGCCTCCATGGACAGAGGGCTAAGTGTCCTTTCAACAAGTGTTATTGGAGAAGTGACAAATCTCCAGAAAACTAGAGAAGAGCTTAATGAACACTGTTAAGCCTATCACCTGAACCTAACAAGTGTGACACGTTGCCATGTTTGCTTTATTTGTGTTTTGTTGATGTAATTTAAATTCTAGACATCACGGCATTTTTATCTCTAAATATCTCATTGGGAATGTCTAAAAAAATGAGGGCATTTCCTACGTAACTATGAATGCCATTATCACACCTGACACTTTGAACAGTAAGTCTTGAATACCTTCTAATATTCATTTCCTATTCACATTTCCCTAGTTGTCACCCAAATACCGTTTGTTGCTGGTTTGTTCAAACAGGAATCCAAGTAGAAATGGGTCCCGTCCCCTGGGGCCCTGCCCTCTGCTCCTTGACCGTTGGATGTTTGCTCCGTGGGTGACACTGGACTCCTCCCCAGGGACCCAGCCTCCCAGCTGGCATGTGCCCTGGAGAAGAGGCCTGGGCGGGATGGAGAGCCAGGGGGCACGCGAGAGGTGGGGTGGGCACAGGTCTCAGCAGAGCCTTCCTTTGCAGCCACGACTTCATCGGGGAGTTCACCACCAGCTACCGGGAGCTGGCCCGCGGGCAGAGCCAGTTCAACATCTACGAGGTGAGGCGGGCGCCCGAAGCCTGGGGTGTGCCCGATGTTACGTAGCTCCCAGCCACTGAGGCCTCAGGGAGCATGTGCAGGGCTGGGTTTCGCAGGTTCTCCTGTGAGATGGGTGTTCTTGTCTCATCCTACAGTTAAGGAGACTCAGTCTCAGCAAAGTCAGGGGACTTGCCCAAAGGCACATTTCAGTAGATGGCGGAATCCAGGGGCAAACAGCCGACCAGTGGTCAGCAAACTCATTAGCCAACAGAGCCAAATAGCAACAGTACAACGATTGAAATTTCTTGTGAGAGCCAAATTTTTTAAACTTAAACTATATAGGTAGATACATTGTTATTCACTTAATTAGGGTACTCCTAAGGCTTAGGAAGAGCCACACTCAAGGGGCCAAAGAGCCGCATGTGGCTCGCGAGCCACAGTTTGCCGACCACTGGCCTAGGCTGATCTGACTTCAAATCTCTGAGCTAGAGTGCCCCCCAAAATGAGTACTCCCAACAAGGTGTGGGATGGAAGTGGGGGTGAGGCAGAAGGTGGGGGACAGTATCAGAGGGTTCCAGGCCTGAGAGCCGAGGTCCTGAGGTCAAGATGGCCCTCTGCCTTCGATGAGAGCAGGTCCAGGCCTTTTCTGGAGGGAGGGCTCAGAGGAACAGGAGCCAGGGTGCCCCTGGCAGGGCTGGAGAGCCTGGGGCGAGGCACCATCTCTCTGGAGAAAATGGAGTTTGCCCTCGAAGGCCAGTGCCCGCGGCTGAACCCTTGCTAGTGTGTGTGCTCCCTCTGGGGGGCCCTCCCACCTTCCAGTCCAGCTCACCTCCTGCTCCAGTGCTGGCTTCCCGTCCGAGCTGCTGCTGGAGCTCGTAGCCTGGCTCTGCCTCACATGGGCCTGTGAGCTTGGCCAGGCTCCTGAAGCACTCTGCAAGGCCTCGGAGAATTAAATGAGCTACCAGAACAAGGCCGGCCGAGTGGGCATGACGTCAGCGCTGTCTCCCAGCGTCCTGGGCGCCAGGAGATGGGCATCTCACAACCACCCCACGAGCGGGCTCTCACCTCACGTTAGCAGCGCTCGGCTGGGGAGGCTGCAGAGCTGGCTTCGACTCCCGTCACCGAATCTGAGTCCTCCATCCTCCCCCTCCCCCTGCATCTCTGTTCTGAGCGGGCAGGTCTTGTGTTCCAACTGCCCCGAAGCCCCCCAAGGGCAGGTGATAGCCCTCTTGGCTGCCTCTCTCCACGGTCGTCTGGCCACTGCTGGGCACACAGTAGGTGCTTCTTAGACGTCCACACACTGGCTTCAGTTGAACAAGGCCATTATGAAGATGGAGTGGGCGGGGGGGGAGGGGGGATTCCTTTGAATTCTTCACAGGGAAGGCTTCGTTCTCTGCCCATCTCCCACCCAGACAGAGAAGCAGGCTCTGTCTCTCTCTGGCTTCCTTTAGGGAGATTTTTAGGGATGGGAAGGGAATGGAAGAGAAGGGGAGGGGAGGGAAGGGAACAGATCAGTGGGAGTCTGGCTTCTAAGGGAGCTTGACAGACAGAAGGGGCATGGTCTCCCAGTTAGCAGAAAGGTTGGGTGACTTGTTTTCTTGGTCGAGGATCCCTGCTCCCTTGTCATCGACCAGATGAACTGGGCGCTGTTCCCGTTGAAAGGCCGTCAGGCAGAAAGGAATGGCCTCAGGCGGCCGCGGAGGGTCCTTGCACTGCGGGGTGTCACTGGGAGGCCTGAAGACAGCACAGGCCTCTTCGGGGGGGACCGTCGTCTGGGGCCCCAGCGTGACCCGGTCCAACTTGTACGTCCAGCTGTCTGCGGGCCGCTCCGCGGACTCGGCCTTCCCAAACCCAACGCAGCGGCCACAGCCTCCCCGCGGCCCTCCCGCCCCTGGCCAGCCTGTGCCGCCACCACGGGGGCCACAGCACCTGGAGCCCCCTTGACGACTGTGGCCCCTCGCCATCCATGGCTGCACCCTACTTCCAACCAGCGGAATATGCCGATATTTGTTCCCGTCCTTCCCGTCCACCCCACTGTCATCTCCCCTCAGTAGGTTTTGCAACGGCCCCTAACGGCCTTCCTGCCTCCTTCCATCCACTCAGTAACCTGAGTGCTCCTCCAACATGGTCACCTGACCACATCGCTGCCGCTTCAAGCCTGGTTGTAAGTCCCACCCCCCACCCCCCACCGCAGCCTGGTTCACTGGCGCTGGGGACGGGAGGAGATTCAGAAAGACGCCCACCCCAGCCGAGGCCCTACAGGGGCAAAGTCCCAGCTCCTCCAACTGTGCCCTGCCGCAGCGACCTGCAATCTGTGGGCGCACATATCACCCCACGAGGCCCCTAGGGTCTGGCCCCAGCCCTTCCCTCTGCCCACCCGCTTTGAGTCCACTGGGCCATCGATGCTCTCTGGCCCTGCTTGCTGGCTGGGCCTCGTGGATTCATCCACGCAGGGGCTGCCTCTGGGTGCGGGCGGTGTCTCATTCACTGTCGTCTCCCCAGAGCCAGAGCATCTCCTGGCTCCTGGGAGCCACTCCCTGACCCCTGGTACAGGAGGGCAGACTCCAGATGGGCGCTGGGGGCCCTGGGGACTCAGGGTGTGAAGAGAGGGAGAGGAATAGGCAGGCTTAGAACTCCAGCCCAGAGCTTGGGAGGTTCCTGGCCTGACCCGTAGGGGGCGCTGGTCCCCCTCATGGAACCTGAGGGCGGGTGAGGCTGGTACATGGGTGGGGAGTGCACGAAACCTCAGGATAAACAGGGCGTCTCTTCAGGGCCACTTCGCAGGAAGATCTGAGAACAAAACGTTGCTTTAATATTAAAACAGTTATAATTAGAGAGTGGTAATGTGGAATAGTGGCCAATTTAAAGAAAACACAGAAGACTTCAAAGAAATGTGCTTATGGCCTGATCTCGGGGTGACGCCCAGATCCCCAGGAGTCCATGTCTGCTCTTCAGCTGGGAGGGTTACTTTGGAGTAAAAGCTTGAGAGGCACTCAGTTCTCAAACTTCCACACCCTCCTGGGACAGATGGGGAAACTGAGGCACGGGGCAGCATTGGAGCTGCGACTGCGCCCTCATCTGAACACGGAGGCTGCTTCCCAAGACGGTGGGCACCGTGCCACCACCCGGCTTTCCTGCCTGGGGAGGATTGGGGTCGTCCTGGGCTTCGCTCCCTGACTCGCACTTGCCACCTGCACAGCCTGCTGGCCCTCCCACCTGAACGTCCCTCCTGCACCCCAAATCCAGCTCTTCCTTCTGTGTCTTCCTGGGGGCCCGACCCCTCCTCCTCTCCTTCCCCCACAGCCATGCCCGGGGCCAAGATCCGTGGTCACTTCCTGATGGCGCTCCTTTGCCATAGCTCATTACCTGGTCCAGCGCCCAGAAGCCCTCAGACCAGTCACCTGGACTGGGGGTGGGCGTAGTAAGTAGAAGTAATAAAACATAACAGCAGCCTTCACGCCCACAGAACTTACTGCATTCCAGACCCTGTCCTGAGCACCCGCCTTGCATTGACCCATTTAGTCCCTACATCTCTCCATGAGGTAGCTGCCTTTTATTCCCACGTTGCAGATGAGGAAACATCTGTAGACACCCCCCTGGGTGTCCTTCCTCCTCCCCTCGCACTCACCTCCACCAGGCCCCGGCATCCCAGAGCCTGCTGTGACCTCGTCCCCCATCAGCTCAGAGGTCGTCAGAGTCCCTGCTCGCTGCTGGGTGGTGGTCCGGCATTTCAGGTGGCATTGGAGGTTCTCTTCCAGCCCGCCCCCTTTATTCTCTTCCACCCTGTGGCTCCCCAGTCTTGCGCTCCTTTCCCCCCAATATCTCCTGACTGGGATGCCTCCCTCCACCTCTCCACGCCCAGGTCCTTCCTGTCTCTCCGCATCTGCCTGCGGTGCCTCCAGCACAGGGAGCCCCCGCGATGCTCCCCCCGGAATGGTCCTTCCTTCGAACAGCGCCTTCATGTTTCCGACTCCCCGGTCTTGGTGGCCCTCGTCCCCTCTCTGAGGACATACCTTCTTTCTCCAACTGGAGTAAAGATTCTAGAGGAGAGGAACTGCCACCCCATCCCACCCCACCTGGCAAACATTTGTGAAGGAATGTGTTGGCATTTCTTATCGAGGGGCCTGAGGCAGGAACCTGGCTCCTAATTCTGTCACTACCCAGACCAGCTCCGTGCCCTTTGGCAAAGCACTTGGTGTCTCTGTGCCTGAGTTTCCTTGTCTCCAAGCTTACACGGGAAGAACAGTTCAGGAGGTCCTAAGTGGCTCTCAGCATCCTCCAGGCAGAAGAGACCCCAGGAGGAAGGACAGGAGAGGGGGAAGAGGGAAGGACAGCAGGTGGGGAGGCCATCTTGCTTTGCTCAGTCGGAGGTTAGGGAAGGGCTGGGCCTAGACTTGCACAGAAAAAACACAAAAGAGCTGGTGAGGCTCAGGTTAGGTACCAAGGTGCACAGGCGATGCCTCCGGAGGGCTGCCAGGCCAGGTGCCCCAGCAGCCAGGGCCTCCGCCTCACACCGCTGCCATCTCACACTCAGGACTTTGCTGTGGGGAGCTGTCCCACGGGGCGCAGGGTGTTTGGCAGTCTCCTTTGTCTCTGCCTACTCTCCTAGTCGTGACAACCACAAATATTTCCAGACGTTGCCAGATCTCTCCAAGGGTGGGGTGGGCCCCCAGTTAAGACCATCGAGTTAACCCACCAAGAAATGTTTGTTTAGCACCGACTGTATGCCTAGCTAGGGCTGAGGTATCTCCTCTGATGATGGGTTGGGTTTGGAATGAAAGTTTACACGCGAAGAACGGTTAAGGAGGTTCTAAGTGCAGTGTGAGGGCGGGGGGTGGGGGGTGGGGGGGCGGGAGGGAGCTCACAGGCCCCAGGGATCCCTAAGGCTGGGTCTCCAGGGAGGCGCAGGGCGGGCTGTGGGGGGCGGGTTCCCGCTGAGAGATCAGCCTGCGCGGGCTCAGGGCAGGCATGGGCAGGGCCCCTTTGCAACATCGAGCTCCTCTGGCTGCATAGGGTGCAGGGTGTGTTGGGAAGTAGTGGGAAAGGAGGTTAAGTAAATATTATTCTTGGTGTGTTTGCTTATGGGACACTGTGTCCAATCGGGGAGCCTGGTTGCGTAAGTCTAGATGCCAGGCTCTCTCAATCTAAATGCCTGGGCCTCCTCTCGGGATGGCTGATCTTCTCAGCCTTCTCTGCTTCCAGGGTCTGGGCCACACCCTGGCTCTTCCCCCCACCCCCACCCCTCCCCCCTCAACCCCCCCACCCCCATCCCTACCCCCACCTGGAAGCCCCAGGGGTCCAGTCTGTCAGTTTGGAAGCCTCTTTCTTACCTGGTAACTGTTTTTTCCTGCAGGTGGTAAACCCCAAAAAGAAAATGAAGAAAAAGAAATATGTGAATTCTGGCACCGTGAGTAGCCAGGCCTCCGCTGTGCCGCTGGGTAGACGCTGAGCCCGGAGCGGGGCCTGGTGTCAGGAGTCACGAGTGTTTGTGTGCCCCTGCGGTGTGGGAACTAGACCTGGAGAGTGGGGGGCGGAGAGGGGTGGGGCCCCGGAGCCACCGCCCAGGGGGAAGGCGCGCTTAAGGCTGTAGCACAGCAGGCTCTGTGATTCAGACTGAGAAAGCCCAGAGAGAAACTCCCATGGGACTTCCTGCGGCGGGAAGAGGAAAGGAGGCACAGTGATTGGGCCCTGACTCCGGGAAATTCCCAACTGAGGTGCTTTTCGCAGGTTGTTTCCTTGGGAGGCAGTGTTATCATCCCCTGTCATGACGGAGGAAACCAAGGCTGCAGGCAGGGAAGTGACTCAGCGAAGGTCACGGGCTGGAAAGGGGGGTGGCAGTCAGCACCCAAGTTACCTTCAGAGCCTGCGGCTGCTACGGGCTGGGCGCTGCTTGCCTGCGACCATCCTGGGGTCACGCTGGCCCAGCGGCTTCTGGGGACTGATCTTCATGCATTTATCAATAAATGGAAGTCCTGGCCCTACTGGCATTTATATTCTAGTGGGAGGAAGCAGAAACAAGTAAATATACTTGTTTATTTATGACACCACAGGTGTCAGGTGGTTATGAGTGCTGTGGGGAAAAGCAAAGTGAAGGGATAGGGATGCCAGTGACAAAACTACTATCCTCCTTCCTTCCTATATAATAAAAGCCTAATATGCAAATCAACTGAACAGTTGCTATGAGGCGCACTGACCACCAGGGGGGCAGACACTCAGTGTAGGAGCTGCCCACAGCCCACAGGCCTCAAGCCAGGCAAAGCGGGTGCCAGCGGGGGGCCCCCATCACCCCACCAGTCACCCCGCAGAGGGAGGTGACTGCTGGCAGCAGGGGGTGAGGCTAGCAAGTGGGTGGTGCCAGCCTGGCCAAGGCGGGTGCCAGAGGGCGGCCTCCCAACCGCCCCACAGGTCAGCCCTGATCACTGGCCAGGCCTAGGGACCCCCCCACCCCCATGCACGAATTTCATGCACTGAGCCTCTAGTTTAATATAAAGTAGTCAAGGAAAGCTTCTCTCAGGTGACATTTGAGCTGAGATTCAAAGAAGGTGAGGAAGCAAGTATTGAGGATATTGGGGAAAAAGAATTCTAGTAGGAATCAGCATGTGCAAAGGCCCTGGGGTAGAGCCCACAATGCATTTACAGAATAAGCCAGTATCTTTGCAGGGCAAACATGCCCAAGTTCTACCCTTCATGGCCCTTCCCACTCCAGAGGGCCATACATCAGCGAATGCAGCGAAACTTAGTCATTTGAGTCAGGCAGACTGCAACCCTAAACCCAGAAGAGGCCCTAGTCAGGGGTTCTGGGGGTCCTCTGAGGACCCTCATTTTCTCCATCTGTAAAATGGGGCTGATAAGTTATTCCTACTCTGCTTATTGCACAGCGTGGCAATGACAGACACAGGGGAGATGCAGGCCTAAAAATGGCACAGTGGTTTGCTTATCCACAGGGGGCGACCCCCGGCTTCTCTGATTGTAACTTTCACAGACAGGCGTGGAGTAATACAGGGTGGGGCAAAAGTAGGTTTACAATTGTTCATTTGGAAAACAACACAATAATAAATAAATAAACAGTACAAGAATCAACTGTTTCTCACGCTCTCGACTGTAAACCTGCTTCTGCCCCACCCTGAATTTCCTTTGCCCAAAGCCGCAGGGTTTCTCAGTGGGATGCTGTCGGCGTTATAGGCAGGACCATTCTTCATCTCACAGGACTTCCCCTACGTTGTGGGGTGCACCCCAGGCCTCAGCCCATAGCTGCCGACGGAGCCCCAGTCATTTCGAGACCCCCTGAATTCTCCCACACGTTCCCAGGTGCCTCTCTGGGAGGCAGCTGAGAAATATTGGGTGTACAGTGTTAAAAAGGTTTGACAACCACTGACCTCATCCAGCTTTCTTACTTAGAGGCTCAGAGAGGGGACGTGCTGTCTTAGGTCACACGGTGAGTTAAGGGCAGCGCAGGGCTGTGCCCAGGTCTCCTGACTTCCCTTTGCTGCAGCATTTCCCAGTCTTCATCTTAAAAAGAACCACCCAGTCTGCTTTCTAAAATGCAGATTCCCAGGCAAGTTCCCTGGGCTCCAGGTTGGGCCCAGCCATCTGTGCTTAGTGCTTCTCAGACCCTACCTACCACGAGAGAATCTCCTGGGATCTTGTTAAAATGCCAAGAAGCTGCATTTCTGCCATATATATATATATATATATATATATATATATATATATATTCGATTTCAGAGAGGAAGGGAGAAGGAGAGAGAGATAGAAACATCAATGATGAGAGAGAATCATTGATCAGCTGCCTCCTGCATGCCCTCTACTGGGGATCAAGCCTGTAACCCAGGCATGTGTGCCCTTGACCGGAATCCAACCTGGGACCCTTCAGTCCACAGGCCGACACTCTATCCACTGAGTCAAACTAGCTAGGGCCATTTCTGCATTTTTTACTAGTAACGCGGTGATTCTGACCATGCTGGTCCAGGGACCCCACTTTGAGTAGCAAGTCTCTGGGTGAATCCACGGGCTGGCAAGTTAGGGAATTAGTTCATCCCGGGGCCTGGATGTTCAGCTCTGGCTGCAGGTTTATTTAGACTCTTGTGAGGAGCTAAGCAGCGGTTCTCAACCTGTGGGTCGAGACCCCTTTGGCGGTCAAACGACCCTTTCACAGGGGTCGCCTAAGACCATCCTGCATATCAGATATTTACATAACAATTCATAACAGTAGCAACATTACAGTTATGAAGTAGCAACGAAAATAATTTTATGGTTGGGTCACAACATGAGGAACTATAAAGGGCCAGAAGGTTGAGAACCACTGAGCTAAAGTAAGATCCAGGGCCAGAGCCCTGCCCCAGAAACCCTGATGCCATTGGTGTGAGGGCCTCCCCGGGCTACAAGATGTTTTAAAAGCTCCCCAAGGGGTCTCCTAATTGTCAGCATAGAGGCCACTGCCCTAGTCCATTCCTCGTGAAAGGAGGCTTTGTCCAGGTGCCTCAGGCTGTGATCACCGTGGGTGGGGGTCTCTGAGGCCCAGCTCAGCATTCGCAGACCCCCTCATTTTGGGGACGAATGGCTCATCAGCTTTGTCAAGCAGAGGCCCTACGGACCCACCTAGTGAGTTGATGAAGATGGCTGAATGGAGCAGGGAGCGAGCAGGGAGCTCCCCAAATCCTAGAGTGGAGGTCTGTGATGCAGGGAAATGGCCCCTCCCCCGCCTGCCTCATTTAATGGGTTTCAGCTGCCAGGCTTTCCCTGGTCTCCCAGATCCCAAGTCATCATCATGACCCGCTGCCAGTGGCTGCCTGTCTCGGCGAAGCTGATGCCAAAGCCGCCAGAGGGCGTAGATCAAGAGGCCTCTGCTTGGGAGAGGGGGTCCTGGGTGGCCAGCCCCCTCCCCCCCCCCCGCCCGAGAGACAGGCTGCTTACGAGGGTTGAGGGTTGAGGGTAGGGCTGGAGAGACGCCAGAGGGAGGGGACAGGTAAGGCTGAAGATAAGTGTGGATCAGAGAGGCACGTTTGAGGATGACTAGTATGGAAGCGTGGAGCTGGCCAGCCTGGCGGGTGTTAGGACTGTGTCAGGAAGACGCTTGCCCTCCACACTCCGCTCCACATGGGGTCTGCAGTTTGGCGCTGAGGTCAAGATGGCAAGCTCAGACAGGCCTGGTTCCCGTCTCACCTGGCCACGTGCGGGCAGCGTCCTTGGGCACATTGCATCACCTTGTTGAGCCTCAGTTTCGTTGGGGATAAATGGGGATAATGACAGCCCTTCCTGGGGCTGCTGTGAGCCCCGATTGCAGCGATGAAGGCGCATGGCACGTGCTGAGGCTCCCGCTGACCAGCTCCCTTTTGTTTTCAAGGTCACGCTGCTGTCCTTTGCCGTGGAGTCAGAGTGCACATTTCTCGACTACATCAAAGGAGGGTGAGAAGACGTGCAGCCCCGTTTCCGTGGCCTCGGGGAGAGGGAAGGGGCCTCAAACAAGGGCAGGAGCAGCTCTGGCCCCACCCTGGCCTCCGCGAGGCCCTGGCTGGAGTCTGTGATCCTGGGCTCCAGGCTGCCTTCCCAGAGCTCTGCCTGCCCTGGAGGCCAGCTGGCTGCAGAGGGCGTTCCTGGGCCATGCAGCCAGCCGGGCAGGCCAGGTCCCTGTGCCCAGATGAGCCCGGAGGTGGTGGGGACTCCATGCTAGAGTCCCAAGGGCTTGGGGAGGTGGAAAGAGCCCTGGACGAGGAGTCATGAGGCCCAGGCTCCAGACCCCCTTCGCCCTGAGTTTGCTGGATTCCTCTGGCAGGTCACTGTCCCTCCCAGGGAATCGGTTTCCTCCTGGGAGCACAAGAGGTTGGAGTTTGGTGAATTCTAAGATTCCTTCCTGCTCTGAGCTTCTGATACCCCTGGTGTGTCTGCGTGGCAGCGATGAGCCTGCCTGGTGTCGTGGGGGACACATAAAGGGCAGGAGAGAGTGGGGGATGGGCCAGGGAGTAGTCCCAGGACCAGCAGTTGGTCAAACACGAATTTAAGGAGCAGGAAGAGCCAGAGGTGTCAGGGTCCGGGCCAAGGCAGCCAGGGAAGCCTGGAGGCTCCAGCCAGCAGCTCATGGAAAAGGTGCCGACTCTGCCAAGGACAGGTGCCAGGCCAGGGTGTGGGTAGCCAAGAGCCCACAGGTGCAGGCAGGTGAGTAACTACACCTGTTTGGAAAGGAGACAGGTAGGGCAGCTGCCAAAGGCTCATCCCAGCCAAGTGGGCACTGGGCTGCCTGGTTCTCCAGGGCAGAGGCGAAGGCAGGGCCTGGGAAGCCACGCCCGCTCTCCCTGCCACGGCTCCCGCGGCTGGAACCGCCGTCTCAGGTGGGAGCTCTCCTTACCCACTGAGCACACACCCTCCCACAGTCCCCCGGAGGCCTCCTGTCCCCCCTCCCCCCCCTCAGCCTGCTCCCCACCCTGCCCTTGCTCCCTTCCCTCGTCAAAACCATTCTGTTCTCCATCCACTAAGCAGCCACCCGGTACATTCCGCAGCACCTGGTAATTTCCAGTCCTACTTATCCTCTTTATCCTTCTCATTTGCATAATACCACCAAGGTACAGAGCACAATGGGCAGGGCAACGAGGATCTTCATTTTATTTTTTAATTTTATTTTTTATCTTTATTGTTGAAATTATTGCATATGTCCCCTTTTCCCCCATCGACCCCCTCCAGCAGATCTTCACTTTATATAACTTTCCCGAGGCCGCGGGCCTAGTGGCAAGGTGCCTCCTGTCATGACTGCTGCCTTTCTTCCACAGTCGTGACTCCCTGCCTGCCTCCGGCGCCCAGGTGGGGTGGGTGCAGGTGGGGTGGGTGCAGGTGGGGTGGGTGCAGGTGGGGTGGGTGCAGGTGGGGTGGGTGCAGGTGGGGTGGGTTCAGGTGGGGTGGGTGCAGGTGGTGTGGGTGCAGGTGGGGTGGGTGCAGGTGGGGTGGGTGCAGGTGGTGTGGGTGCAGGTGGGGTGGGTGCAGGTGGGGTGGGTGCAGGTGGAGACGGCCGAGTTAAAGGGCTGGGCACTGTGACGTCTCCTGGAGCCGCAGCAGTGGGCGGCTGCTGCGCAAAGCTGGCGCCTGGAGTACCGGGCAAGTTAGAACACCGAGCCGCCCTAGCCCTCCCCTCCTGCACCCGCCCCACGCCTCTCTGCACTCGCTGGAGAGCCTGAGAGGCTGGCTCCAGGCGGCGAGAGCCCGCATGCATGTCCGGGCAGGCAGCTGATGGCGACATGTGTCTAGGGATCCTCTCCTCCCTGCCCGCCCTCCCCTGCCCACCTGGAGGGGTGGGGGAGAGAATGGGCACCTCTGCCCCATGTCAGAGATGGAGCTGGTTGCTCAGCAGTCTGCGTTCTGCCCTGCTGTGCCCTTAGGCAGGAGAGGTGAGCCTGCAGGGAGGAACTTTCCCATCGATACAGCATTCCAGTCCCTTCATTCCCTGAGTCATTTCAGAACCCAGAGCAGGGAAAACTGCTTAAGGAGCAAGGCCTGCCTGTGCCCTCAGCTGCAGTCCTGCAGGCCAGAACCACCCTACCAAGGGCAGCCCAGGGGGCCAGGCTCTTACCCGCCAATGTGTCCCCTCTTCCAATGAAGACATAGCCTCTGTATTCCACCTGAGAGGTGACAAGGAACAGCAGGTGAATAGAGTCAACTGCTATAACAAATAATTCTCCAACCTCAAGGCTTAGTACAAATAAAAGCTTATGTTTCATTCTTGGGGTGGCAGGGATGGCTGGGGAGATGCTCCACAGTCACTCAGGGACCCAGGCTCTTGCCATCTTGTGGCTCCTTCTCCCTCAGAGCTTAGAGTCCATTAGATGCTCTGGCCCCAGGCAGCAGACCAGGGCGAAGTAATGTGGGGAGAACTGTTTCTGGCCAGCAGATCCTGGCTTGGGTCTCCTGCTACCCATGTCCTTCATGCTTCCTGGGGGACAAAGGGTCCATGAGCAGTAGCCCAGCTGTGACTAGGTGGAGAGAGGGCTGTGGTTCTGATAGGGACCATCTTCTAAATGCAGGTGAGGTGAGCCCTGTCTCATCTTACATCATCCCTGGCCCCAACTTGGAACCACCATAACAGTTTCCCCACGTGTGATCCCAGTCAGTGCCAAACTTTGCACTTCTCAGCATCCTGGATGAGGCCAGAGGGTGTTCATTAAAGAAGCAGATTCTGGTCCCATCTCAGACCAGCTGGATTGGCATTCCCGGGAGAGGTGCCTTGGGATCTTCCTTTTAAATACGCTCCCTTGATGTCTGTGCTCATTCAGCGTGTGAACCGTGAGACTAGACTCTGTCAAGGGCTCATGTCTTGTCAGCTTTGTTCTGTTAGCACCCAGCACAGAACCCGGAACAGCCAAACCCTCAGCAGTTTCAGCCCTGAATCTGAAGCCTCAAAACCTAACCTTTTTTATTACGGAAAAATCCCAAACACGTTCAAAAGTACAGGGGACATATCATGACTCCCAGGTGCCCTTCGCCCAGATTCTGCCATTACCAGCTCCTGGCCAATCTTGCTCCACCCCCTCTCCCTTCCATGCAGTCATTTTGAAGCAAATCCTAGACATAGTTCATTCCCCCGACTACTTCAGGGTGTGCTCTGAAACTTAAGGACTCTCTCTGTCAAATATAACCAAGTATCATAATCACACCTGACAACTGAAAGTTCCTAAATATCTAGTCAGTGTTCAGATTTCCCCAGTTGAGTTCTAAAGTTTTTAATTGGCTTCTTTGAACCCCAAATCCAGGCAAGAGCCATATACAGGGGTGGGCAAAAGTAGGTTTACAGTTATAATACAAATAAACAATAAAATAATTAACAAACAATGATATAAGAATAAACTGTGTTTCATGTACTCACAACTTTTGCCCACCCCTGTATTGGGGTTAGTTGATTTGTCTCTTAATTCTCTTTTCTTCTATCAGTTCCCTGCCCCCACGACCCCGCACCTGGAGGGGGCTTGCTAAGAGCTTCCTACCCTGCAGACAGTTTCTGATTCATGGGTCTGCAGGAGACTTAGGGTCCTCCGCGTTCCCAGGTGATCCGCTCCTGCTGGTCCCTAGGCAGGTGTTCCAGAACGTGCCAGGGACTGGCCTTTGCTGGCCGCACCCCCCGCGGTGCCCTCTGTCCCTGTGCTTCCTGTGAACAACTGGTAGATGCTCTGAGGCTCAGTCCGATTCAGGTTCACTGGGGGCAAGTCAACTTCATGGGTGATGTTTGTTCTTCCCTCCGGAGATGGACAATGTCTATTTGTCTCCTTTTTTTTGTCAAATAAGTTTTAACCCTGAATCTGACTTCAAATTTGAACACAGTGAGACTCTACTTCGCGGCCTCAGGGGGCCCAGGGGCAGGGTTTGGGGAGCAAATAACTGGGCTTAATCACTTGCCCACACAGAGCATCTGTTGTCTTCAAAGAGCTTCACACCGCCTGGCTCTTGTGATGCTCACATCAGCCCTTTTGGGGGTGGGGGGAGGGGAGGCTGGCGTTACATCCCAGCTTTCCAGATGGAAAGACCACACACCGGCCAGCAGCAGGCTGATGGGCCCAGGCTTCCGGCTCTCCAGCCCTGCTCCCCTCCCCCAGCCCCGCCTCTGTCCAGGTAACGCCCTGCTGTTCTCCTTCCTCTAGGACCCAGATCAACTTCACAGTGGCCATCGACTTCACGGCCTCCAATGGTGAGTGGGGGGTGGCAGAGGCGCTGGATGGGGTGGGGGTGGGGGGAGGGGAGGCTTCTTGGGGCTGTGGTGGTTGCCCTCGCTGGCAGCCAGGTCTTCCATACGCTCTGGCCTCGTCCTCCCTGAAGAAGAGGTGCTTAGGCCCCGAGAGCCAAAGATGGAACCACCGTCCTAACAGGTCTGGGCACTGAGCCACAGGCTTATCCTTGAGGGCACCCGGTCTCCCTGGGGGACTAGGACCAGCTGCTCTGGGCCCTGGAGAGCCCTGGAGCGGAGCTGCTTGCTCACGGGATTGAATCCCACACCCTCTGCAGTGCAGCCCCGGGCTGGAGGGGAGACTAGAGTCAGGCCTGAGCGCGTGGTCCTCCGTGAGGGCAGACACGCAGCCCAGGAACCCCGGCCCTCTCCGTGCTGGGGCTGCCCCACTTCCTCGCCTCCTCTGACCGTGTCCAATGTCGGTCGGGCTGGGACAGAGCCTCCAGGAGCAATCAGGGCCAGGCCTTACGCTGTTAGAAACATCACCACCTTCTTTGGAGTCTGGACCCCATTAGCGGTGCTCAATGCTCATTTTTGTGCCAATCAGAAGATACCCGGGTCTCACTGCACAGGTGTGTCAGAAACCCCAGGCCCCACGGAGGGTGGTAGGATGTCAGAGCTGGGAGGGGCCTCCGTGCTAATAACAATGAGGTGAGTTACCATAACGCCTCTGTAATCCTCACAACAGCCCTAGGAGGTGGGCACTGCTATCCCCATTCTACGGATGAGGAGACTGAGGCTGAGAGCTTAGGGAACTCACCCAAGATCATTCAGCTGGTAGGAGGTAGAGACGGGGTTGGTACCTTTGCAGCCTGTGCTTACTGCCTCTCATTAAGAAGTAAAATATGGACAATATTTAGTGGTGATAAAGGCAATGGAGAAACGTCAAATGAGGGAGAGGGGTAGAGAGGGAGGACGGGGGAGCTGTGACTTTCATGGGCGGCTGGGAAGACCACACTGAGAAGGTGAAACCTGAAGAGGTGGGGGAGCGAGCCACGTGCACACCCGCGGAAAGTGTCCCAGCGCAGGGGGGGCAGCCATTGCCAAGGCCCCGAGGTGGACTGAGTGAGTGGCAGGGAGGGTGTAGGAGGCGAGGACAGGAGTAACTGGAGGCTAGTCATGCGGGACTTGTGAGGAATTTGGGTTTAACTCTGGGTGAGATGGGAGCCTCAGAGCCCTTTGAGCAGAGAAGAGGCGACATCCGGCGGCCGCAGATTGAGGGCTCGCCGGCTGGTGTGCTGAGCGCGGGCGGCAGGCACAGGGCGGGGAGGCAGGGGAGTCAGGAGGCCGCCGCTGGCCCGCAGGCCAGGGCACCGCGGGATCCTGGGACTTGGATATTCTTTGAGGGTTTAGCAACTGGGCTTTGCTCCAGGATGGAATGTGCAGTAAGACAGAACGGCATCGAGGGTAAATAAGCAAAAGCGAGGGGTGCCGTTGGACACCCCTTCCGATTCTGCAGCCGAGGAGGCTTGGCGTGTGCACGCCGGCACGTGTCCCGCACCCTGTGTCGCAGGAAACCCCTCGCAGTCCACGTCCCTGCACTACATGAGCCCCTACCAGCTGAATGCCTACGCGCTGGCGCTGACCGCCGTCGGGGAGATCATCCAGCACTACGACAGCGACAAGATGTTCCCCGCCCTCGGCTTCGGGGCCAAGCTGCCCCCCGACGGCAGGGTGTCCCACGAGTTCCCGCTGGTAGGAGGCCCGAGAAAGGGCTGGGCTGACCCCTGGGGGTAGTGGTGACAAGCCCGGGGTGGGGGCACTTCCCCTCTTATTCGCCTAGGGCCTTCAGGGGCTGCCTTTGTGGGGGGTGGGGGGGCTGCCTGCTGTGTGCAGGGGGTCTTGTCGCTGGGCCTCCAGAAACCCCCTCCCCACCTTGCTCACAAAGACTCCCATCACGTCTGAGGCCACCCTCAGTGGTTCTGACTTTTTCCTGACAAGACCAGGAGGTGGAGGGGGCACGTGGCCATACTTTCCCCCAAGGCCCCAGAAATGAGGAGGCGGGTGTGGGTTGGGTACAGGCAACTGCGGGGAATTCCAGGAGCTACCTGGGCTGGTGCTGATGGGGGCCACCTCCTCCCCTCCCTGCCATGAGCTGGGGATGCTGAGTTGGTCCCTGGGTCACTCACAGCAAATGTCCCTCACAGCCCACGAAGTGCCAGCCCGGTGCTGGGCACAGGGCGAAGGAGTGGGGTCAGCCCTTGCAGAGCTGCTTGGACCCTGCAGCCACTTTCCAGCTGGGCAGGTGCAGGGGGTGGGGTGAGGAGCATGTGCTCCCCTTCAGGGTGGGCCCCCACACGCCCTCCTCCCCTGTCCCCCCACCAGGGAAGAGTGTAGGAGAGCCCAGGCCTGCTGGCCACTGCCCCCTGCTCCTGTCGCCCTCCGCCTTCCCGCCCCTCCTTCCTCCCTGGGCTCAGCCTCCTGGGCTCAGCCTCCATCCTCTGCCCCCAGAACGGCAACCAGGACAACCCGTCGTGCTGCGGCATCGACGGCATCCTGGAGGCCTACCACCAGAGCCTGCGCACGGTGCAGCTCTACGGCCCCACCAACTTCGCCCCCGTCGTCACCCACGTGGCCAGGTGAGCCGGTCACTAGACCCCGCCCCAGCAGCTCACAGGCGTTTGTCTCCACTCCTGTCCCCTTGCCTTTCAGGGAGCCCTGACCCTAGGAGACCCCCTCCAGCCAAAGAACTGTCCCCACCAAAGTGTTAAGGAACCCTGTGTGTGTGTGTGGTGGGGGGTGACATGCCCACAGCCTCCCAGACAGACTGCGCCCCACCCCAGGAATGCGGCCGAGGTGCAGGACGGCTCCCAGTACTCCGTGCTGCTCATCATCACCGACGGGGTCATCTCGGACATGGCGCAGACCAAGGAGGCGATCGTCAACGTGAGCTGGGGGACGGGAACCCGCGGGCGCACCTTCCCACTCCTTTAGGGAGACGCTTGGCCTGGCTTCTCCGCTCCCCGCCCTGGGTGGGACCCTGCTGGCTTCGGGCTGCAGCATCTGGAGGGCCTGGCCCTGGGGTGGGGGGGCATCGGTCCCAGTGGTCCCACCGGTGAGCTCCCCACCACCTCTTAGCCATGCTGGGTGGTCCGCTCCCTCCGGCCACCTCTGGCTCCCTCATTAGCTGCCCTGGGAACTCAGCCTGGCCAGGTAGAGAACTGGGAGGTCCAGGCCACACAAAAGATGCCTCAGTGATGGAGGCCCGGAGGCAGAGGAGGGGTGGGCGTCTGGCAGAAGTAGACCTGGGTCCCTGGGTCTGTAGCCCTGGCTGCCTTATCCCTCTCCCCTGCTTTTCTGGGTTTCTCTGTGTCTCCATCCTTCTCCCTTCCATTTCTTCCCTGTCCTCCTGACTTCCTTCTTTGATCTATCCTCTGTCCTAACACGATCTCCTCCTCCTTTTAACTGGCCCCTCGGCTGGGTCCCAAACACCCCCACCTCCCGCTGTCTCACAGGCTGCCAAACTGCCCATGTCCATCATCATCATCGGCGTGGGCCAGGCGGAGTTCGATGGTGAGTTCACCACCCCTGCCCCCACCCCCACCCCCCACCCCCGCCATGCTCCCCAAGGCTCTGGGCCCCTGGGCGTGGCCCTATCCACAGCAAGGCTCACACCTGGTGTGTGATCAGCTGGGTCAGCTGGCAGCGTGCAGGTGTTTGTTTGCACAGGGGCCTGTGTGTCAGGGTGTGCGCCCCACGCCCACACCCCAAGGCAGTGGAGAGGAGGCCAATGACTCCTCCCTCCTCCCACCCTGGGAGCCTGGGAGCGGGGAGCTGGAGGCTGGGCTAGAACTTAGGACTCACTGGGTGGGCTTCCCTGTGAGATTGGCCCCTGACTTGCCCCCGCTCCATGCCTGCCCCCACCCCCCCACCCCCACAGCCATGGTGGAGCTGGACGGCGACGAGGTGCGGATCTCCTCCCGGGGGAAGCTGGCTGAGCGGGACATTGTCCAGGTGAAGCCCTGCTGCCCCCCAGCTGGCTGGCCTCACACTCCCTGGGGGTTTTCTGGAAAGGCTAGAGGGCGGCGCTGGGAGCCCAGGTGGCCTCAGCTCCCAGCCGCGCCCGAGACTCACCCCGAACGTCGCCCGCCCAGCCCTCCCTGCACCCCAGGCCTCCGTGGGCTCCTCCAGAGCACGGCGCCTGGTTATGGCACCTTCTGTGTTCTGCCGGCGCCTCCCCACCCCCCGCAGCTGGCAGCCCCTGGAGGGAAGCTGCCCTCAGCTCGGTGACAGTGTCCTGAGTCTCCGTGTAGGATGCAGTGTACCGAGCAGACAGGCCCTCACGTGCACCTCAGCCGGCAGCCCCTCCCCGCAGCCCCTGCGGACAGAGGCCCACTGCTTAGGAGATTCGGAATGAAAAGCACATTCTCCATACCCTGGGGTGGGAGGGGTCGTTCCAGGTGTGGCGGCCAGATGGGGGGCTAGAAACCCGAGCAAGCCTGGGAGGGGGCACCGTGGGTGCGAAGGCCTGGGGGACACCCCTGGAGGAAGCAGAGGGGCCTGACCTAGGAGAGAGGGCTCTCCCGGGAGGGGGGCTACCTGAGGGCCCAACTCCCGGAAGCCAGGGGTCCATTCAGCATTCCCTAAGTGCCTGCTAAGTGCCCGGTGCCCAGACCTCGGCCCGAGGAACCGCGTTGAGCACCCTGGCGTGGGCTAGGTGCTCAGGAGGTGTTTGCGTGACGGAGAGAGTGGTGACATGATGACAGCTTCCCTGGAGAGCTCACCGTGGGGGAGGGAAGAGGGACGTGGGCAGAGGTTGGGAGGAGGGGCAGGATCTCTGCCAGGAGATGGGGGGGCTGGGCCCAGCAGAGACCTGGCCTAACCCTGCCTCCCCCGCCGGCCAGTTCGTGCCCTTCAGGGACTACGTGGACCGCACGGGCAACCACGTGCTGAGCATGGCGCGCCTGGCCCGGGACGTGCTGGCCGAGATCCCCGACCAGCTGGTGTCCTACATGAAGGCCAAGGGCATCCGCCCGCGCCCCGCACCTGAGGCCCCCGCCAGCTCACCCTCCCAGTCCCCAGCCCGCACGCCCCCCGCCTCCCCCTCCCCCTCCCCCGTGCACACGCACATCTGAGCCTGGCCCGTGGCAGGTGGCTGGGGCCTGGGGAGGCGGGGGAAGGGTGCCCCGGGTCCCTGGAGCCCCCCCAGTCCGCCCGGCCCGTGTGGAACCCGTGTGGCGGAGGGAGGGCCTCTGGCGACGCCCTCCCAGTTTCCTGGCCTCGCTTATGGCCCAAACCCAGGGAGGTGGGGTACAGGTGGGAGAGGCGGGCTCCGGGCCCTGCTCTTCTCCTCCTCCCCTGACACTCGGCTCTAGTCCAGCCAGGAAGGTGTTAGCAGTCAGGCTGATGGGGCCCCTCAGCACCCTGGACCGTCCCGTCTGCTCCTCTCGCCGCTGAAGCCGGGGCTGGGCCTCCCTCCTCCAGGCCCCCTCGCCCTCCCCTCCTCCTGCGCTGTCCACTCCGCTACCTGGCCCTGACCCCCACCCCAGCACCTACCCTGTCCCTGTTCCCAGTGAGCCCCCGGAGGCTGACGGGTTGGCAGGAGGCCTGGACATGGGGCCCTCCCAGGGACACTGGCTTGCAGTGGGGACCCCGCAGCTCCACGAAGGGGCAGCTGTGATGTGGACCGTAGGCCGCCCTATGGGCCAGCCACGGAGGCTTTTCAGGTGCAAGGTCTTTTCCATGCCCCCCAGCCCAGCGTGACACTGGTTCTAGACACAGAGCCACAGGCCTCTCTCTGGCCTGTGACCTGTGGGCACCGCAGTTGACTCTGAACTCCAGGCACCCCTACCTCCCCCCAGAGGCCGCCCAGGGTCCTTGGTGCCCACTCCTCTGCTGCCCACCTAGAGGCCTGGGCCAGGAGCAGCCCAGCCCCGCACTCCCACACGGCCCCTTCCCCCCCCAGACAGGAGCCAGGGTCCTGGGCTCAGGCCCTGCTGCAGCCCCTGCCTGCTGTGGGAGCCTCGGTATCCACATCTGTAAAGCAAGGGGGTTGACCAGATGGTCTCAGGGTGGCCTTCCGCTCTGAGGCTCCCATGGCCGGCCTCCCCATCCCGCCCCCACCAGTGCACCCTCCTACCCCAGGCCGCCTTGGCTTAGGGTCGCCCTGTTCCATCCTTGGGCTCTGCCACCTGGGCCGGAGCCCCTGCCTCGGCCATGGGAAAGGCGAGGAAGGTGATCTCACCCCTGGGCGCACCCACTGCCCAGCCTCTCCCCACCTGGGAGCAGGTCATGCATGCCGGTCCCTCCTGCCGCATGGGGCTCCGCAGCCCGCTGAACGTCCTGTGCCTGGGCGCGACCGGGCCCCACCCTGTCTGTGCCCGGCACCGCTCCCTTCCTGTCATGCATGATGGTGGAGTTTCTACACTGTCTGGTCCTGTGCCTGTGTCTGAGAGTCTGTGTGGAATTTGCCTTAAACTGAAGTAAATTTGGTTCTTTTACTAAAGTTCCTTGTTTTCCTTTCTCCCAAGACAAATAGCACAGGGGTTGCTGTGAGACAGAGTCCAGGTTCTCGTCTCTCTCTCTCTTTCATTCTTTTGTTCAACAAGGATTTATTGAGCAACTGGTATGTGCCAGGGTCTGTGCTGAGCACTGGGATGCAGCAATGAACCAAGCACAGACCCCGTCTCCGCATGGAGCTTACAACAGACACAGATAGGACAGGAAATGTCGTAAGCACGCAAACACATAGGCAGGAAACGTAATTTCGGGTAGTGATAAGTTACAAACAAAATTTTGAGAGAATAAGGGGAGAGAGAGTAACAGGATGATCTTTTATTTTATTAATCCTCACCCGAGGATATTTTTCCATTGATTTTTAGAGAGAGTGGAAGGGACGGGGAGAGACACAGAGAAAGAAGCATCACTGTGAGAGAGACACATCGACTGGTTGCCTCCTGCATGCGCCCTGACCAGGGCCAGGGATCGAATCTGCAAGCTAGGTACATGCCCTTGACCAGAATCGAACCCGGGACCCTTCCGTCCACAGGCTGAGGCTCTATCCACTGAGCCAAACCAGCCAGGGCCAGGGTGATATTTTAGATGAAGTCGTCAGTGAGGGCCTCTCTGAGGAGGTGCAGTTGAAGTGAGTCCTAAAGAAATGAGAGAGGGAGGCAAGGGGAACAGCAGGTGTAAAGGCCCTGAGGCGGGAGCCTGCTGGTGCGATTGGAGGACAGCAAGGAGGCCAGTGTGGTTGGAGCTGCAGTAGGAGGGCTAGGGTAGGAGACCCGGTCAGGGAGCTGAAGAACAGGACGCATGGTGAGGCCTCAGCGTGACTCTCACCGGAGGTGAAAGAGGTACCATGACCAGATTGTTCTCTAAAACAAGTGGGAAAACAAACAAAAAACAACAAGGACTTTATTTAGACGTTAACATGTCCCCTTCCCCCAAATCGTAGCTCTATCTTAAAAATAAGTAAAGTAAAACAAGTGAGTCACTTCACTGCACTTGGTCATTCATTCACTCATCTTTCAACAGCTATTGACTGAGCGTTAGTGTGAAGCCCCACTCAGGGCGGGGACCCTGACTCACACAGTTGCACCCTCAGGCCGCTGCCCTTGCTCGGGAGCAGTGGGCAAGGGCCTCCTCCTCCCTGGGGTCCTGATGCCAAGCCAGTGGGCGGGCCAGGGTCTGTGGGCACCGAGGACCACTCACAGGCCCTGTGCCAGGATGAGTTACTGCTCCTCCGTGCAATGGCACCATCGCTCCTCCCTCCCAGGGTTAGGGTGTGGCCCGACGGGTGATATGTAGATATGCACACAGGGAACGTGTGCAGGGCACAGGACCTGCTGCGCTGTAGGTACAAACAGACACCTTTTCCTCCTGTCCCTCTCCACATATAAATCCCCGAGGCCATCGGGGACCAGTCTGCTCTCAGATTAGGCCTCCAGAGAGCCGTTCCCGATCTGCACATCACAAGAAGTTTGGTACGAATTCTACCAAAGTGTGGGACTTGTTCACTTCTTAGGATCTCGTAGTAACGTAGCTCATCCTGGCTGTCCCTGTAATTAGCTGCTCCTCTGACTTGCGTTCCTTTATGCTTGGGTGGGAACTGGGCGGGGTCACAGCTTGGGTAGAGGGGCGTTCCCATAACCAGAGGCCCATTTTACCTCTCCTTGGGCGCTTTGGAGGAGATGCGCACCTGGCAGGGGAACTGAGGCTCAGAGCCACGGCCTCAGGGTGCCGAAAGCATCTTTACTGTGCTCAACACTTAACTCCTCCCCTGGGCTCTTTCCCAGGGTGTGTTCCATGGGACACTGGTTCCCTAGCATGGATTTTAGGAGGCTGCCAGCTCTGAGCACCTCTCAGAAAATCCAAGTGGCCTTTAGGGTATTCAAGGCTCTGATAAGTCCTGCAGCAAAGAGACCAGTTTGACTTGGTTCAACCCAGTGTTTTTGACCGTGGAGTCAGTGTGTGTGTGCACGCACATGTGCAGGGGTGTGTGCTTAGCTGTAGCACTATTACCAAGCAGACCAAGTTGTCTGGGAATTTCAGTGGAGACAATATCCCCGGTTCCCAGGCCAACACACAAGCCTGAGGCTTGCTCTCAGGAGGCCAGAGAGAGTGTGTAGATACAGGGGAGGAGAGATGGAGGCCTCTATTTGCTCTGGAGAGAAGGAAGGGCCTCGAAAGGGGCCCCTACCCCAGCCATGCAGGGAAGAGAACCATAGAGGAAAAAGAAGGGTGTTCAAAATTCACAGGCCCAGATTCATGGCTCCGTGGTTGACCGTATTTGTGTCCCCTTATTGGGCTGAGAGGTTTGTGTGTGACAGCTGGGGAAGGGCAGGCAGAGGAGGGAGAGGCTGTTAGGGTGAGGAGCAGGCAGGGTCGGGTGGGAGTACCTGGGCCCTGGCCCACCACCAGCAGCATGAGCCCATTGGCCAGCAGCCCCACCAGCAGGCTGAGGCCTAAGAGCCTGGTAAAGTCGCTCAGGTGTGGCTGTGAGCCTGGCGGTGACTGCAGCATTGGGCTCTGTTCTGCTCCAGACCCGTAAGGACGCATAGAAACCAGCCCGCGGGCCGCCTCCCTCTTCCCCCTGTTGAGCCCCACTCTTTCCACAGACCCCTGCGTACAGGGGACACCCTGACATGCATTAGCCCTTTAGACCTCACAGCAACTTGGTGGGACGGCTCCACCAGCGCCTGGGGCCCCAGCCCGACGCTGCTCCTTGGGAGTCGCAGGCCCTTGGGAAGTTACCTCGTGTTTCTCTACCTCCGTTTCCTCAACTGTAGGAAGTGAGGAAATAAGGAAAATAAAACGATGTCAACAGTAACTGTCACTAAAGGGCGAGATTCAGGTAACTTTCATTTTTTTCTTTTTAATTTCTTATTTCTAAAATGTCTTCATTGAGTACAAATGGGATCTGATAAATATAGAGATAGAGATGGAGATGAAGAGAGAGAGAGAGATGGAGATGGAGATGGAGATGGAGATGGAGATGGAAAGATAGAGCTAGAGCTAAAGCTAGAGCTAGAGATGGAGAGATGGAGATGGAGATGGAGATGGAGATGGAAAGATAGAGCTAGAGCTAAAGCTAGAGCTAGAGATGGAGAGATGGAGATGGAGATGGAGATGGAGATGGAGATGGAGATGGAGATGGAGATGGAAAGATAGAGCTAGAGCTAAAGCTAGAGCTAGAGATGGAGAGATAGAGATGGAGATGGAGATGAGATGGAGATGGAGATGGAGATGGAGATGGAGATGGAGATGGAGATGGAGAAGATGTATGCTTTCTTTTTTAAGCAAAAAGACCTTGACCTTGAAACAGGGATATTTTAACCTGAGCTTTAAGTATGAAAGTGGATGCCCAGAGCTTTGAGAAGGTGTGGAGTCCTGACCACCGGTCCCCAAATTGCCTGCACATTGGAGGCACTTGAGGCTTTGAAAATACTACTGCACGGATCCTACCCCAGAGACACGACTTACTGGTCTGGGCTTCGGCGGCCACTTAGAGCCTCTGCGGGTGGGGTGGGGGTGCTGCGTCCCAGCTGTTATCTCCCTCCTCACCCCACTCCACCCACGTGCTGAGGGCGGGGAGCGCCTGACTGAGGGACTCAGCCTGGGAGATGGGGTGTAGACCCAGAGTCAGCCCACGGCTGATGTCGCCGCCTGCTGCCTTGCAGGGCAGGATGGGCGCCCTCCCACCTGTAGTGGGGAGATGCTGGCCCGTAACTCAACAAATAAATATTTCCGGAGTGTCAACCCTGAGCCAGGTGCTGGGGATCCAGCAACAACAAGACAGCGCAGTGGGGTCCTCATTCCAGTTCCCACCCCCTTCTCCTCCAGTGGGGACAGGCCTGGAGACCCTCTCCAGCTGGCTCAGCAGGGCTGCAGGTCCCCGACCCCCTGCAGAGCCTGCCTAAGAACCTGCTTGGTCCTACCCTCCTTTTCTTTCTTTCTTTTTTAAAAATTAATTTTTATTGAGTTTTAGAGAGGGGCGGGGAGAAAGAGAGAAACATTGTGAGAAAGAAGCACTGATTGGTTGCCTTCCACATGCACCCCGACTGGGGATTGAACCCAAAACCTAGACGTGTGCCTGACTGGGAATCGAACCAGAAACTCTTCGGTGAACGGGACGATGCTCAGCCACCTGAGCCACATGGGCAGGGGCCCACCCTTCTTTCCTTAATCAGCCTCAAGCTAAGCTGTGACCTGAGCCCCCTTGGCTGACATGCGCTGAGAGCTCACGGCTTGTCTGAGAGTCCACTCTGCAGTCCCCGCAGCGTCCCTCCTGCTGCTGTCCCCGCAGCGTCCCTCCTGCTGCTGTCCCCGCAGCGTCCCTCCTGCTGCTGTCCCCGCAGCGTCCCTCCTGCTGCTGTCCACGCAGCGTCCCTCCTGCTGCTGTCCACGCAGCGTCCCTCCTGCTGCTGTCCCCGCTGCCTCGTGCTGCTCCGGGCTGCTGGGCTCTGCTCGCTGACTTGGAACCTGTGACACCGGGAGGCCAGGCCTCCACAGTGTGCTCTGCACAGAAGCTGGACCCAGCGGAGGAAGCCAAGGGGGTTCCAGGCAGGAGTGCAGGCCCTTCCAGCACCATCTCTAGGGAGCTCCAGGCAGCTGCCTGAGCCGGGGCAGAGCCGAGAGAGGAGGGGCAGGCCCGGGCCACTTGTGCACTGGGTCCCCCAAAGGACGGGGCTCTGTCTGCTCTCCTGGCCCCCCAGGAGTCACACCCTGCCTGCCTCCTTAGCTCACTGACCCTCAGGACAGATGTCGCTGCCTGCCAGCACCCTGGACCCCAGAGAAGGAGCCATTAGCCAGAGCAGGACTTGCCCACCGCTGTCCAGGGCCAGGCATCCCTCACTTCAGCCCAGCTCTCTGTGGGTCTTGCTCTGAGCACTACAGCCAAGACCAGTGATGGCGAACCTATGACACGTGTGTCAGGTGACACGCGAACTCATTTTTTTGGTTGATTTTTCTTTGTTAAATGGCATTGAAATATATAAA